GGCTAGATGGCCTCCCCAGGTCCCTTCCAGCCCTGCTTCTCTGCAATTCTACGATTCTGGGCTAGGGCAGCATCTCTGTGGGGAAGCTGCCATAGGACAAAAGCGCCAGTGGAGGGAATGATGTGGGAGCTCCCCAAAAAAGCCTGGACCCACGTGCTGGGATTGTAGGGGCAAAAGCAGCTGGACTGTTATGTGGGGGTTGGGGGGGCACACTCATGGACCCTTTGATGTTTGGGGGGGGGCACAGCCCTCCCCCTGGCATCTCTTGAGCTTGTATTGACAATGTTTCATAGATGTGGGGCCTTGACTGTCCTGATTCCCCTGCTTTACCTGTGGCAGGTTAGGTCTATGTTGTGTCAGGGTTGATGGTTGCTTTATGTAGAGTTTAGATTATGGTTTGGATAGGCTTGGGCAGGGGGTGGGAGGAGATGACCTCTGGAGGTCCCTTCCAGCCCTGCTTCTCTGTGATCCTAAGAACTCAAACTCCCCCTGCAAGTGCCAAGGGAAAGGGGCCAGGGATGGGATCCCCCTTATTAATCAGCGGTGAGCACTTGGAACAGAGAGCGTTGCTAAACCAGATGCTTGGGGCTGTAATTGCGTGTCATGGGACTTGAAATTGTTTTCTTCTCCCCTCAAGGGGGTCTTGTGCCTGCAGAGGATGGACCTGGGAGATGTGATTACAGGTTAATTTAAACCAAAGTTACCTGCTCCCAACTCCTGCTCCTGCTCACTTCTGCTCAGGTTGGGCACGCAAGGGCTGGAATCTGTCACAGCAAACCTGCAGCCCTTTTTGTGGGTGACTTCACATGAGGCAGCATTTGAGACCTAGTTGGAAAAAAAAAGAAATAACAATAGGGGCTCTTGGTGGGAGAGAACTAGGAGTGGGCTCTGATGGGGAAGTTTAAATGGTATGGTGTTTTGCTAGAAATCGGGACCTTCATCCTTGTATGTGGGGCACTGGAGGTGTGGGTGACTTGATGTCGAAGGTCACTTTGTGGCATGAAGGCATTATCAGTATGCCTTTAAAAAAACAAAAAGGAAAAAAAAAAACCCTGCTCTACAGGGATCAGGGAAGCAGAGGAGAAAGGACTGCATAGGAAAGAGCCAACCCCGGTGTGCTGTGATGTTGTTTTCATTGGCTGTGCAGCAGTCACGAATGCTGATTTTTTTTTTATTTTTATTTTTTTTCCCCATGGAAAGCCCCTGATGGTTGTTTATAGTATCACTGAAAACTGGGCTAGGGAGTGAAAGAGAGTTGGAGCAGGAATCCTGCTCCAGAGAGAGGGGAAGTTGATGTACTAGACTAAGAATAGAGCAGGGAGGGGGGTTCCATGGTTTTGACACAGAAGGTAACAACCTTTGTTCAGTATGTGCTTCTGTGGATGTTATATCAGGAAACCAGCCTTTTGAGTGAAATGGGTTTTGTGTTTGGTTCAGATAGAGCAGTAAAGCTGCTGTTTCCCAGTATAGTAGCTACATATCTGACGTGTAGGGTGGTGTCTCTCATCAGCATGTTATCATACTTGTTCTCTGGTTATATTTCAGCTTCTGACAAAACCACAGTCAGTTACGGAGGAGTCTTTGAATCTGTTTGGTGGTTGGAACTTTGACTCTTTACGAGCTCCTTCAGGAAACGTCTCACGCCAGGAGGAGGGAGAGAGGAGAGGCAGCTGTCCCGGAGAACACGTCCCATTCAAGAGCTGCTGCCGGGCATCAGCAAGGCGAAAGGAAGTTGCTGTATGTGGACTTTTCAGACAGTAAGTCACGTGGGTTTATAAGTAGCTGCATTGGCTGTGTGTTATAAAACAGTTGAAGTTCTGAAGAGGAGGAAAGAGCACTGGAAGGGTGGAGGTTGTTTCCAGGGTATATTTTATTGCTTGTGGAGATTTAGATTTTTAAATGGACTCATGAGTAACCTGATGGCCTCTGAACGCTTAGGAATTGAAAAGGAACCCTGGAATGACCTCAGAACTCAGGCTTTTAATTTTCTTTGAACTCCTGTTGAATTGTGATATTTTTAACACTTGCATTGTGTGTGTGCGTGCACGTGTGTGTGCGTGTGTGGATAAAACTTGCTGTGCAGACTGTTTTGACTGGGGGTTTTTAAACCTTCCACCCCTCTTTGTTTTGCTTCCCCTCCCCCCCTTCAGAAATGCTTTCTTTGAAGAAATATTTCACTGAAGGACTCATCCAGTTCACCATTCTACTGAGCTTGATAGGAGTTCGTGTGGACGTGGACACCTACCTGAATTCGCAGCTTCCCCCTCTGAGGGAAATCATTCTGGGTCAGAGCTCTGCTTACACTCAGACCCAGTTCCACAACCTGCGGAACACCTTGGACGGATATGGCATCCATCCAAAAAGCGTAGACCTGGACTATTATTTCACCGCTCGGAGGCTCCTCAATCAAGTGAGGGCCCTGGACAGGTTTGAAGTGCCCACCACTGAAGTAAATGCCTGGCTGGTACATCGAGATCCTGAGGGTTCTGTGTCCAGCACCCAGCCCAGCTCGGGCATCACCCTAGAGAATGGCAGTGGCTTGCAGGACGGGCCCAATCCTGACAATGGTGTAAGGGAGAACGGAGCCGAGCAGGGATTTGGTGAAGAACTGGAAGACTTAGGAGCGGTGGCGCCTCCAGTGAATGGAGACTTGACCAAAGAGGTAGGCAGCTCCCTTTTTATGTGAGATGTGTGCTAGGGAAGAAGGGAAAATGTTTATTGGAGGACCCCAAGGAAAGGAGTAGCTTAGAGCCTGATTTCCAGAAGGGCTCAGCATTCAGTGGTTCCTGTGGGAGTCAGCGGGACCTGTGTGTACTGGGTGCTTCTGAAAGCCAGGCCCTGATTGGTGAATCCCAGGGCACTGAACTTAAGCTGGACTTGGCAGGATCTAGATTCTTTTAATTTTGATCTATGGGATCTTGGTCTGAAATTGGGGAAGGCGGTCAAGAAGTCATTCTGTCAACTGTAACTTTGTATTTGTGGGCGTGATCCAATACTGCCCCCTGTTTACTCTGCTCTGTTGGGTAACAGTTACATCCCATGTGTCAAGTCGGGGGTGAAATACTCCTCTCTGGATTTTATCCAAATCCTGTTTACTGCTTGGTTTTCCTCGTAAAGGAGCGGGGAGGGTGGTGAATTAGAAACTGGCTCCTTTTTTTCCCAAAGAAGTGTGTTCTCCTGGTTGCTATGACACAGTCATGTTTTGGCCCCCAGCAGCTGCTATGCTTTCTTTCCATTAGGTTTCTTTGTCAAGGCATGTTCCGCTTTTCCTTCCCTTTGGCCATATTGCACTGCTCTTAGCGACCATGTGCTACGGTTTAATGTTTGCATGGTAACTACAATCTCTCCTGAATGTCGTGGCTTGGAGCTCAGACAAGATGTTATGTCTGGGGAAGGGTGGAGTGGGCACAGAGAGTTTCATGCTTTGCTGTCCTGATCCCTAATCTGCTTCAGGACAGCTCTTTGAAATTTTGCAGGCAGGGGATGAAATTGATTGGGGTCTCCATCCTGCTCTTTCCATATGCTGTGATGAAATTGCCTGGGGTCTCCATCCTGCTCTTTCCATATGCTAGTTTCTGTTCAGAAATGTACAGAAACGTATCCTAAGTGGTGTGCAAGGGCTCATCTAGGAGGTAAAAGGTGAACCTGGCTTCAGATCTGATGTTTACTGAATGGCGTGATATTGCTACAGGAAGCCTGGGTGGGGCAGAGCCTGCCTGAAAAGAAGACCTTTTCCTGCCTACTGATTTGACTGGGGGAAGAACAGAGGATGATGCAAAGGTTGAGCCTAACACTGGTAGTTTAGCCTGGGGTTTAGAGCAGGAAACTGAAAGTAAGTGCTACACTTTCTGTTTTCAAGGCTCACTTTGTGTGACCTTGGAGTAGTCATTACAGTACCTTCTGTCTGACAACTCAGAACCCTTCCCACAAATACTAAATTTAGCTTCTTCCATGCTTGGAGAGAGAAGTATTTTTTTATCCCTCTTTTGCAAATGGGGAAACTGGGGTGAAGGCTGAAATGACTTGTCCAAGGTCATATAACATGAAAACAGCAAATTATGTTTCCAGACTCCCATTGTAAGCTTTAACCACCAGGCCCTCTGTCTTCTGTGTTTTGGGCTCTAGGATAGGGATGCTGTGCCTGGAGATATTTTGGGAAGTGCTATATAAATGCAAGGGTGGAGGTCAGTATCTCTGGATTCATTTGTAGAAGGGCCAGGGTATGGATTGTAAGAAGAATCCCGTTGCTGATCTGTGTGGTCTGTAGGTTGATAACATTACTGGTTTCCTGAAGCCTCCTTAGTTGTATTTTAAAATGCCATTCCAACTGTCGGTTTTCTATATGCAGGATGCAGTGAGCAGGATGCAGTGAGCAGACTGCAGTGCTGGCCAGCACAAACTGAATTGCTGCAAGTGAAATTTCTGGATAATCCACATACCAACCCTACAGAAAGTGTCCATATTTGTACACCGTTTCGTTCCAATTGCTCCTCTTTTGTTGTGGATTCTAACCCCTTCCTTGTGTAATCTGTTTATACAAGCATGCGCTTTCCTTTCACCCGTGACAATCTGTGTTTGTACCGTTGTCCTGGCTTAGACCTGATAGAGAGTTGGGTTTTTTTGTTTTTGTTTTTTTTTCTCAACTGAACCACAAGATGCACTGTGACCTCCTTTGGGACATAGTGCCTTCCCTGGATTTCTCTGGTGGTCAGGACTGCTGGCATTCAGTACTAGGAAATCCTGCCTTCTAGCCCCGCCTCTCCCAAGTACACATGCACTTCACATCGTCCTGTGTTCCCCAAGGGGTGGGCAAGACCGTACTTGCTGCTGTACATGGCATACGTGAAACTACCAAGCATGGAGTCTTATTTCAGAGCATTATCAAAGTGATCATTGTTTTGTCTGGAACCCCAAACCCCATTCATGTGTGTGGTTGGTAGCCACTTAAAAGCTTTGCAGTTAGGTGTGTTTGTGCTGTGCTGTGCTGTGCAGTTCCTGGCAGATGCTGGAATTGGTATTCACCTGAGATGTGTGGATTGAGTCTCCTCCTGATACCCTTGAGGAAACAAACAAGAGGATGGGAGCAGGCAGAGAATGGTAGGGTTAGAGGAGACCAGTTTTCCATTTCTCCAGGCACTTAAAATTTGAGACACTGCTCAGATCACATAGTCCACATTAGATCTGGCTCTGAGAATAAGCATATAGTATCTTGGGGTTGAAGTGTTCCCCCTTGGTGTGGTGCAGGACTCTAGTGGCTTATCTTGTTCTGTCATCTTAGAGGTGGTGGGGTATCTGGGGAGGGGGGTGCTGTTTGCAGTTGCATTTCACATGCACTTACAGCATCTTAAGGGGTTTGGTCCCAAGTCTCTGGGTTTTTTCCCCTTTGACCTGGGGAAGAGAGGAATTGTCCTGCTGGCTGATCTTTGAAAAAGACCGGTCCTGTGGATTACCATGGCCCTGTAACATTTCCACAACAAGAGGATAAAAATACCCAAAAGCCAAACATGTGATGAGCTGTCAGTGTTTGGTATTATCCCAGTATCACAAAGCTGCCGTCCAGCCAGTCCTCTGGTAACAGAGTATTAGCACAGGGATAAGATCTCCTTACACTTGGCTGTGTCTGCATACAGCAGTCTTGTTTACAGTCAGTTCCTAGGGACACCTACCAGATAGAGTGACCAGCCCAGGACATACTGTTTCTGTTAACCTTGGATGTTAGGAGTAACAGGAGATTTGTTACTCTTGGGCTGAGGGAGTTTAGTTAGGGTGCTTTTGTTAATCACCTAGAAAAATCTGTAGGGCTCAATAGAGACCACGCCGTATCTTCCCAGCCCTGCTTGGACCCAAAGTGGTTCAAGCATTCAACCAGGATAGCCCAGGGTCATACAGGTCTTCTTTTTGACAGCTGGAATAGTATTTAATGCTAACAGAGTGTTTTTTTTTAAAAAAAGATTTCCCCCTTTGAAGAAGGTAAATTACTTCTCTGACTCTCAATAAAAGGGGTCAGAGACCTCCACCCACTCTGTGACAGTGCTCCGAGAGCCACATATGAAGCAGTGCAAGTGCTGGGTGTTATTTTTTGGTAGAGTGCAGAGAGGTTCAATGCCTTGTCCAGCATCACACAGCAAGTCGGGAGTGGAGCTGAGAGGCTTCTTACCTCTCAGTCTTGACCTCTAAGGACTGTAAGTTGCATCCCCTTTTAAGTATTGGTTCTAAGAGGGGAGAAATGCCTCGTGGGTGGCATCTGGAGCTTGAGGGGGCACTGGGGTTTTTTGATGCTACTTCCCAATTCCAGTGGCTTGGGTTAGAGAAGAACCAAGAGTCCAAGGTGAGGATTTTGGATGTGCGGGAGTTCTCGGCCAAGGCCCACGGGGAACTTGAGCACATTCACAAAGGTAAAGCAAAAAGGGCTGTGTGGGTGATGCTGAAGACATTTCAGAAACAGAAGGGATCCAGGCATTGGTGACTGAATGACTAGAGGCTTGTAGAACTTGAGAAGATGTCAGCTTCAGAGAGGAAACAGATGAGGAGGGTGTGAGGGATACCATATATGGGGTATTCCTAGTTACCCTGTCCCATAATATGGGAACAAAGGGATTTCTAGCAAAAATGGAAAGGCAGTTAATGTAACACTGACAGGAGGCAGGACCTTGTGGAACTTGCAAAAGCTCAAAAGCCTTTCAAAAAAGAATTCAATCTTTATACGGCATACGAGATCATCTGCAGTCATTAGGTCAAAAGATATAAGGGATAAATGCTTAAGTGCCAAAGACTCAGAAGAAACTTCTGTTGTGGACAGGTTACTTCATAACTGAACAGTGCGAGGCCTGCGTGCTGCCCTTGAGGAATCTAGTGTTGGGCCACAAGCTGTGGCTCCCACCAGCCTGGAGTCCTTGCTCCAAACTCGGTGGCCAAGCCCTTGTCCTCTCATCTGGGATGCAAATGCAATGTGAAAATCCTGCCCAGCCTCCGTGTGACATCACTGCACATGTGCAGACAGCACTGACTCCCAGCCTCTGGTCCTGACCTTTTTGGGGGTTTTTTTGCTATGGAAAGGGAGGCCAGGGGCCCATTTCCTGGTGGAGTCTGGGAAGACATGGCTGGGGGTCCTTTGCCAAAGCTGATCTGGTTCTTTTCTTCCTCCTCCTCTGATAAGGGGGTGGGGAGGAAACTTAGCTTATCAGGAAAAGGGGAGCTGCATTGCTGGTAACTTCCAGAGGGAATGTAAAGACTCCTGGCAAAGGGGCCCGATCTCCAGGCAGTGGGGGGTGTCTCCTGCTGCTCGGAGCTGATGTTGTAAGTTGGAGTGGAGAGCGAGGGGTGGGGAGCTGTGCCCTGCTGCCAAGCCCACTGCACCAGCCTGGGGAGCTGTGGGTGGGGCACCTTAGCGTGGGAGCGTCTCTTCAAGGAGACAGAGGCCCAGGCAGGGAGCACAAGGAGGGGACGCCTGCTTCTCGCTGCAGCCTTCACAGCGACCTGGGGGGGGAGGAGATTGGCTCTCGCCGCAGCCTAGGTGACGAGCACAGGGAGGAGACTGGCTCCCTCCGCATCCTCAGCAGTGACCCAGGGCATGGGATTGGCTCTCGCCGCAGCCTAGGTAACAAGCAGAGGGAGGAGACTGGCTCCCTCCGCATCCTCAGCGGTGACCTGGGGGAGGGGATTGGCTCTGGCTGCAGCCTAGGTAACAGGCAGGCGGGGGAGGGGAGGGGATTTAGGCTCGCTGCAGCCTGGGCGTTGAGCATGGGGTGGGGATTCCATCTCGCTGCAGCCTCAGCAATGAGCAGGGGGTGGGGATTCGGGCTAACTCCTGCCTAAGCAACAAGCAGGGCAGAGGATTGGATCGCGGCTGGGAGCAGGAGGAGGGGGTGGGGGGCTGGCTGTAGCACAGCACCTGTGGATCACATGCTGTAGGGGGCTTCCAAACAAGCCAGGGTCCAGCCTGCCAAAAAAAGCTCAGTTACTGAAACTGGAGATGTCTGTGCGGCATCCTGCCTGGGTCACACAGCTCTGCCTACCCGGAATTCGCTCCACATAGACCATGATCTGCATGGACAGCTCCATGAGCAGCAGCTGGGGACATGAAAAAGGTATCACTTACCTTAACCCTTTTACTGCCCCAGCATAGCGTGCTGCTCCAGGCTAGGCAGAGATGCTGAAGGCACTGATGCCCTGGGGTGGGGAGACTGGGGAACTCCGTATGGTCAAAGCTGTTGTACAGCCAAGGTGCTGGATATTGGGGGCATTCAGGGGTCCTTGTTGAGGCTGGCATTTCAGTCACCTGATGTTTTGGCCTTGGCAGAGGCTAGTTTTTGGGGAGTGTTTTTTGAATGGAGGGGGATGGGATCAGGGGAGAGTTTAGAGCTTGGAGCCTAAATATTAGGGGTCCTGTGTGTGGTGCCATTGTAACCTGGTGCTTGGGGAGCTTGGGTTGAGTTCTATAGAGCCTGGGGCTGCTTTGGGTTATTCTGCTCCATTTCTATAAACTGCAAATGAAAATGCTCCCAGATTACTGCTGTCTCAAGGAAGTGGGAGAAAATCCTTGTCTGGGAGGCAGAGATGGCCCAGCCCTCAGTTCTGGCAGGGAGGGGTAGTAAAGACTGTCTGATAGCAGTCTGCAGTTAATTTTCCAGTAGCACCAAAGCCCATCTGTGCAGGGATGTGGGATGCTGGGTGGGGACGACTCAGTACTGCCCAGGTGGTAATTGCAAGGGTAAGGCTTTGGGTCACAGCATCATTAAGAGACCTGAGAGGACTAAACCAGCCCCAGCTGCCATTGAGGGGGTGTGGGCTGTACCCTGGGTTCGGCAGCAGTAGGTGGGGTTTTGTGGTCCCAAGGTTGCTCAGACAGTATCTTGATGCTAAGGGGCAGATCCTGATGATGCTGTGAGGTAGAAGTGGGGAGCAGGCATGTCCAGTTACGGTTCAGGGTTATAGATTCCTTGCCTGGGGACTCCAGGGCTGTAGAGAACGGGAGGGGGGGGATGCAGACCAGGGCCGCAGCAGGGTGCTCAGGGTGAAGCCCAAAGGGGTCTGGCAGGGCAGGGGCCTGTGTCTCAGTTGTAGCCGTAGGGCTGGGCATGGCTGGCATCTCTGTTGTCTGTAGCGTGTGGAGAGCGGCAGCAAGGATCTCAAGTTGCATCAGGTGGCTGGAAATGCAGGGTTTTTCCTCTCCAGTGCACTCCACCCCTTTATGCAAATGTCGAGAATGGCACCACAGGCTGATGCAAGCTCGTCCATGGAGCAGCCATCCTGCATGACAATTGGCCCTTGCCAGCCAGCCGGCATCGTGCAGCCCAGCCAAGTTAAAGCTGCAGACTCCTTTTTTCCTGGGATGGGAGGAGGCACCTGCATATATGGAGAGCAGGGAGGAGACAGAAAGTCTTTCTTTCTCTGGAGTTTTCTGCTTTTTCTCCAGCCTATCCCCTTTGCAGAGCCACTGTTAGAGACCCTGCAGGGAGGGCAGATAGCTCTTGGCTCTTGTGTGGAGGGGCTGCAGGGCCTGGGCTCTGTGCGAGGCAGGATTGAAAGGAATGGTGTCTGGGGTCCCCAGCAGCAGTCTGTGAAAGAAGCCATTGTGTGGGGGTGGGATTGTCTAGCGCTGATTGAAAGATCTCACTGGTAGGAAACTAGATGGTATGCCATAAGAGGGTGTCACAGTTGGTGTGCTGGCATGGAGGTGTGCCACATAATACGATGCCAGCAGGTACCAGTCTAAATTGGCATCGCTGTCCCTCAGAGATGAGGGGTCTCCCCCAGGGGCCAAGGGAGAAGAGGGTCTTTCCTGTGGTTGGGGAGCTGGCCAAGTGCTGAATGAAATTCTGCCTGTCTTTCAGGACATCGATTTGATTGACATCCTGTGGAGACAGGATATTGATCTTGGCGCTGGGCGAGAGATTTTTGACTACAGCCACCGTCAGAAGGAGAGCGAAGTGGACAAAGAGCTGAGTGATGGGAGGGAGCGTGGGGACAGCTGGAGGAGCGGAGGGAATGAGATCTTGGATAGAAATGTACTAGTTGATGGAGAAACCGGGGAGAGTTTCCCTGCACAGGTAAGAGCCCCTTAAGTAGGCCTTGGTGGTCACACTCTTGTTCCTTCCCAGCATGATGCAGTGTCTTGGGTCTTGTGCACCTGCTGGAGAGCAGAGGGAGAGGGAGCCTGCAGCCAGCTTCTTACTAGGGGTGGCACTGAGTGCTGACTTTTGAGGCTCTTTCTTTCCTGCCTGCTGTTGAGCTAGGAAGAGGACATGGTGCTTGTCATCCCTGTGGAAGGCAGGGTGTGATGCTGGAGAGCACGTCTGTTCTCCTAGGCTAGACATAGCTGCAAAACGGGTGAACTGGGAGGAATAACTAAGCAGCCTTGAGCAAATCTTTGGGATGCCACAATAAACAGTATCGGACAATAGGCAGAAGGGCTAGTACCATGAAACGAGGCAAGGCCAGAGCCCTATAAGTGCTGACCAAAGCTTTATTCCAGTGAGCACTCTGGAACAGGTGCTGCTGGCTCCTGTTCTGCTTTAAGTGCGTGCTTGTGAGGGGGCAGAGCCTTGAGGGAGTGTCTCCACCTGTAGTATGCGTAGCTGAAATGGACCCAGGCAGGAGTGCCTTCTGCCCCTGGACTGTCCTAGGGTTGTGTTACTTAGCTCCAGAGTCATCAGGATCTCTGGCATGTGGGTTGATGGTGACAATTCTGCGAAAGCGAGTGGGGCTTCTGGCTTGTTGGACACATGAAGGTTCTGAAGAATATGCTATGTGCTCAGGTCTGTGCTGCCCCTGGTTAAAACCTTCTGTCTTGTATCTGGGTACTTCCAAATGCCTTGGGCTGTGAAGTAAATTGACTCTTTGTTGCCCAGGTGCCTGGTGTGGAGGATCAGACAGCTCTGTCCCTGGAAGAGTGCCTTAGACTTCTGGAGGCCACCTTCCCCTTTGGGGAGAACTCTGAGGTGAGTCTGCATGGGGATGGAAACAAATTCCTGCTCTTCGCTGGTAGGTGGGACAGATAGAGCACTGCAGTGTGGTGGCTGTTTCCCCAATTCAGGCAGTAAATAGGGTTAATCCATCTGTGGAGGCTCCACTGCTCCTGTGAAGCAACTAAGGGGAACAGTGGTTACAACTGAAAGCTTCTGACTTCTTCACATTAGTTTGCAGTGAATTGGTGAGGGGGGGGGGGGTGTTTGCGGTGAATTGGGGGGGGGGGGGTCATGAACAGAAGGGAAGCAGTTCCCTGCCTGGGACCTAAAAAGCATTTGTGGGGAGTTGTTAGCTTAATGCTTTTCCACAGTGGACTAATGCTGTTTCATATTCAGTTTCCACCTGCCGATGCCTCCAGCCTAAACGAAGCTGTGCCTAGCGAGAGTGTGTCTTCAGTTATCCAGAACGGCCTCCTGTCTCCTCTTCTGACGGAGACAGAGTCCCCATTCGACCTGGAGCAACAGTGGCAGGACCTCATGTCTATAATGGAAATACAGGTTGGTTCTTGTTCATGCCAGTCACTTTGCAATGGTTACTTGTAATGATGACTCCCTTCTCTACCTCCAGAGGGTACCCAGCGCAAGGCTGAGGTGTTTACATGTGTGGGTATTCTGCTTTACATGTGTGCACACACAGCCAGACTGCCACACTGAGATGTCTCAAGATACTGAATTCTGAGCATTTATGTAGGGGCATTTGCCCTTGTAGCTCAAGGTGTTGCTCTTTGTCTGAATGCTGGAGCAGGTTTGCCAGCCATGTCGTGGCTGTTCTACAGTTGTGCTCTAGGGTTCAGTTGCTGTTGTGGGCTTCGTATCTACTGCCCCTTTTTCTTGTCTCAGTACACAAAATAAAGGTGTGTCTGGGTACAGAATTTCTGCCTTTTGTGTTCTACATACTGTACCAGTGCTGCTGGAACTAGCTTGTTCCATGATCGCTGCAGGCTGTCTTTTCTCTTTGTGGCTTTTGGTGGTGGTGGCTGCAGTGTGTCAGAGATGGGAGAGAAAAGATGATGCCAGCAGGTGGCTCATTTGCTAAACTGCTGCTTGTCTCTTTTTAGGCTATGGAAGTGAATAACACAGCTGCTGAAACTCTGTACAACAGCACCAGTGGAGACCTGCTGACTGCTAACTACAGTCTTGCTCCAAACACTCCCATCAATCAGAATGTCAGCCTGCATCAGGCATCTCTGGGTAGCTGCACACAGGACTTCTCTTCCCTCTTCAACTCAGAGATTGAGAGCCCCTCCATGGCTAGCAACTCAGCTCTGCTCCAGCTGGCTCCAGACAACTCTACTGGCCTCAACACTAGCTTTGGATCTACCAACTTGAGTGGGATCTTTTTTCCTTCACAGCTAAATAGCACAGTCAATGAAACAAGTGGTCCTGAGCTGCCGGATCCATTAGGGGGTCTTCTAGATGAAGCCATGCTTGATGAGATCAGTTTAATGGACTTGGCTATTGAGGAAGGTTTCAACCCAGTGCAAGCCTCTCAGCTGGAAGAAGAGTTTGATTCTGACTCAGGGCTTTCTCTGGATTCCAGCCATAGCCCTGCTTCACTTAGTAGTTCAGAAGCCTCCTCCTCCTCCTCCTCTTCCTCCTCCTCTTCTTTTTCTGAGGAAGGAGCTGTAGGCTACAGCTCAGACTCTGAAAATGTAGACTTTGAAGAAACAGAAGGGGCAGTTGGATACCAGCCAGAGTACAGCAAGTTCTGCCGCATGAGTTATCAGGACCCATCACAGCTACACTACTTGCCTTATCTGGAGCATGTTGGCCACAACCACACCTATAACATGGCACCTGGAGCTCTGGACCCTGATGAGCCCAAACTGCCCAACACAGGGAAGAAAAGCAGTAAGGAGAAGCCATCAGAGTTCCTGGATAAGCAGATGAGCCGGGATGAGCATCGAGCTCGAGCCATGAAGATCCCTTTCACCAATGATAAGATCATAAACCTGCCTGTGGAAGAGTTCAACGAACTTCTCTCCAAGTACCAGCTCAGTGAGGCACAGTTGAGCCTGATTCGGGACATCAGGAGGAGGGGCAAGAACAAGATGGCTGCACAGAACTGCCGCAAGAGGAAACTGGACACCATCCTGAACCTGGAACGGGATGTGGAGGACTTGCAGAGGGACAAGTCCAAATTGCTCAGGGAGAAGGTAGAATTTCTCAAGTCCATCCGCCAGATGAAACAAAAGGTGCAGAACCTCTACCAGGAAGTGTTTGGGCGCCTGCGTGATGAAAATGGCCAGCCCTATTCTCCAAACCAGTATGCTCTACAGTATGCCAGTGATGGCAGTGTTATCTTGATACCTCGCACCTTGGCTGACCAGCAGGCCAGGAGGCAGGAGAGGAAACAGAAAGACAGGAGGAAGTGAGGCAAGGGGGAGGAGTGGGGAACTCTCTAAAGTTAGAAACTGGAGAAGGGCTGAGCCTGGAAGTACTTAGAGGAACTTTCATGCCTTCTTATCCAATATATCTTCTCAAACATGACTGCTGCCGGCCAGTGTACAGGAAGAGACTGCTGCACGTGGAGGGTGCAGGACCTGCACATTGTGCTTCTGATGGCTCCTCTTGGGGAGTGACTGGGGAGGAATGAATGGTGCACTGGGCAAGCCCAGCGCCCTCTACAACCTGGAATCCTTTGAGCACAGGCAACAAGTTGGCATCACTGGTGGTGAGAATCAGCGGAGGATGGAGCAACTGCTGTTAGGGACTGGCTTTAAGTAAGACGGGATCTAAGTAAATGAACTTTAAAAAACAAAAAGTTATAGGAGAGACATTTTTTTCCGAACTTCCAAAGTTCTGTGATTTCAGGTAGTTGGGTTTTTTCCCCCCTTGAACCAGTTTTGACATCAGTGTGAGAGATTAAATCTGACTTAATTCCAGATTAACCAACATCCCTTCCTAGATCAGACCAGTGCACACATGGAAACACAAAAAGGTGTGAGACTTATTAACTCTTTCCAGTTGAAAGTCTTAGTGGAGGGCTTGGGGTGGAGTTTAATGGGAGACCCATTAGGATCTCTGGAGGAGCTTCTAAGCATTGGCTATCTTATGGCTTTTAGGACTTCTGGAATAGGTGGAACTGGAAAGGGTTAACAGAACCAATGCAATAATGCATCCCCCACCAAACTCACAAAGCATGTCACTGCCGACGAGCCAGCACCTTGCTGGGACTCCGAGATGCATTAGATGAGATGGCACGCAGTAGCCTGCATGCAAATGCTGTCTTCTCCCGCTGACTGGCTGAGGAATTGCTTTGGGTTAAAAGGGGAGGGGGTGGGCTGTGGTCTAAAGCTCCCCTGCAGCCAATTCCTGGCTTATCCGGGCAAGAGCTTTGGGGAACTGGCTGCTGGGTAGCCTGAGATGTGCGTGGGGTTGGTGTGTGGCAATTCTGGTCAGTATACAACACAACTGGGGGAGCAGCTGGTTCCTACCCCATGACGTGGGCTTGTCACTTATAGAACTAGACATGTTAGGATTCCTGTTTAACTGCACTTTGAGTGTTTGGGCTTCAGCCCCATTTTCCCTTTAGGGTCTAGAGTGTGTTGAGTAAAGGGAGAAGCCCCAATGTTCAAAGCTGGTCAATGTTCTCTTTGCCATACAGACTCAGTGTAACTGTGTGATCACATTATAGGATTCTCTTCTGTCCCTAGGTGTTGGTCTCACTTCCTTTGTTTTAAGGAGGGGGGTGGGGGTAGTGCCTTGATCACTGTTGGTCTTGGTCTCTAAGACCAAGACAATCCTAGAAGCTGTATTTACAGTATAGCACAGCTGGGAGCGTACTGACTTAACCAGCAACTGAAAAGCTTAACATGGCTTTCCTAGCCAGTCCTGTGCATGTAATAGCGGGTGGGATGAGGGCATAGCACTGAACAGAACAATGCATCCTATGGAGGACCTGGCAGTGGCGATTTCAGGGGAAGAGCCTTGTTGAGCAAAGCTCTGCTGTGCCTGGAGAAATCTAACATGGTAGTAGACACCTGTCAGAAATGCATGTTCCAGGCATCCTAAAAGCAGTTGCATCTCAGAATACATTATGGCAAGACCTGTAGGGCACTTGGTTAGTGTATCTTCTGTGCCATGGTCTCATGCTGGACAGTATAAGATGGACTAGCCAGAACCAAATAGGTCTCTTCCATCTCTACCTTCTGTGATTCAATGGCTTTGTTTTTATGCATGAGCTGAAGCACAAGAGATGTGGTTGGGTGTGGGGAGGTTGGAATGAAGCCCTGAGTGTATGTTTTAAATTATTTTCCTCTTAGGAATGTTTATTTTAATGATCTGTGACCTGTCAGGGAAAGAAGAGAGATTGTGTGAGCACAGGACAAAAATAAAATGGCTTATTCACTGTACATGCATGTGTTTCATTAAGTCTTTCTCTCTCTTTTTTAACTCCAGGGGAGCTAAAATATTTTATACAAGAAGTTGTCTGGGATACTCTTAAGCAAGCCCCCTGCCTGCAGCAGCTGCTCCCAGATTGGGTATGTCCTGGGAGCAAACTTGGTACACTTCTTTAGCAGAAGCCAGGCCTACCCACGGTGCTGATTATGTCCTTGGCTTGGTTCTTATTTCTGAAGTGTGCTGTGGTTTTTAGTCACAGAAGGCCTTTGAAAGGAGCTCTCTTCACAGTTAAATTAACAGGTACCTCCAAAGGAGAAACATAGGACTCTTCAACCTGTGATAATTATTCCTCCTTCATCTTCTGATGCCTCCAGGGTGCTGCATGAGTGTGATATAGCTTCCTTCCTGACAGGGCTGAAGACTCATCTCCCAGTGTCCACAGGTGTGAACACTTGTGGCCAAGCTACTTCTAAAGCAACTTGATTTAATGGGTTAAAAAGTTTAATAGAAGATGATCAGATCATAAGAGGCTGCAGAAAAGGGGTGTACTGAAGCAGGGGCTGCACCAATCCTTATGACAAACCTACCTTCCCCCATAAACTGTGCTGAGGGCTTGTTGGCCCAACTTGCTGATGCAGCCTAGTTACTCTTCCTTTAAAAATAAATGTAGGCCTCCAGCTGGAGAAGTCCGTGAAGTAGGTCTCAGCTGCTGGCTGTAGTGGAGAGTTTGGATTTTATAGTAAAGTTTGTTTCTGGTGGTAACCTCAGAGAAAAGGGTGCAGGTGTTGGCAATGATCAGTGGTCTCTATACTTCAAAAATTAGGGGGAATCCCAGTACATCCAACTCCCTATTCCCCAGTAGCAAACTGGACTAGCAGTTAGAGGAAATGTGACTGGAACTAGGTGCAGCTGTGAAAGTGAAAGTGATGTTGAACCTTATCCTGGCTACAGCAATTCTCCAGAAGGCTCCAAGTCAATAGCCTGATGCATGGAAAGGGAAGAGTAAAGAAGGTACTTCCAGCTGCATATCAGAAAACAAAGACTTGATGAAGCCTTTAACCAGTGGTTCTCGGTCTTTTTAGATTCAAGCCCTCCCCCTCTCCACAGAAAGTGCCAGCTCTTAATTTTTGCTCTTTTTGGGGTTACAGTAACACAATAAGAGTAGAACTTGCAAGGACCACAGCTATGGCTTTCTATTTGCAGTCTCTAAGTTTATCTTGTGAATGACATGATGACCCTATGGCACTCTTAAAGGATCTGTGGCTTAATCACTGCCTTAAACAAGCAAGTAGTGGATGCAGTCACTACTTCTGCAGGCAAAGCTGCACCCTCAGGGAAAATCTGGATGATACCATCAGAGTTATAAGATGCTTCATCTGATGGTAAATGGCAACTTCAATTTGTCACATTAACATTAGGGCTGTGCAAAATAGGTCCCATTTGATTTGGATTTGGCCCCAATCAGGGACAGTGATTTGATCAGTTGATTCAGATCACTGTCCCTGATTTGATTCAGCCGAATCTGACAATTTGATGCTAAATCTGGTGAATCAGTGATTTGAGTACATGCACAGCTTTAAAAGCTTTTTCTACGTACCTTGAGGTAGCAACGTGGCTCATGATCACTGTGATGCTGGGGCAGATGGAGCATTCCATAGCAGTGTGGCAGGCTCTCCAGTAAACCTGGAAATAGACTGGAAGTAAGTACTTGTGGGATGCTGCATCTGCCCCAGCACTGCAGTGTCAAGAGCTCCTAGTACCTAGAGGTACGTAGAAAAAACATTTGAAGCTGTATCTACATCTGAATTGCAGAATCTGTTCGAATCAATTCGGATAAATTAAAGGGTCTCCTGATTTGATCTGGATTCAGATTTGGCCACCAGATCAAATCAGGAACTGAAGCTTTACACAGCCCTAATTAGCATGCAGCCAGTTGCTGTTTCTCAAGGTGATGCACTGAGCTTTAAAGGGAACCAGTGGGCTTGATCCACAGAGGGAAAGGCAGGAGCTCCAAGCCATACATTAAGGGCAGGTCTCCACAGTAAAACAAAGGCCTGGGCAACCCTAGCAGCAGAGATACAGCAGCACATGCTTCAGAGCTGGCTAGGGTGAAGCTTAGCACAGCTGTGCTTACCCATGCTGCTATCACAGCTTCATTTCACTTTGCACACTTTTTGCTTCCTGCTAGGCAAAAAGCCCAGCCAGAAAAATCCACTGGCATACAGAGAATGTCAACCAGGTGCTGCTCTCTTAGTGAGCCCCTTCCAGTTAGTGTAACACTATGTCCTTGGTTATGAAGCAAAGTTTAATACCAATCATTTACACTTACTCTGTGCTTTGCAGAAGGGTTCACCTCCATTCTCCTGAAAGAATGGAACTAAGACAAGGGGGCTGGAGCAACAATTCAGTGAAAGGAGGAGAAAAACTGAAGTAGCTGGAGATAAAAATGAAAAAGTATTTCAGGGAAGGGATGCGTCAAGCAGCAGGGCATGGGACTGAGATATGCAGCCTTGCTGTCTGGTATTGAGGGGCACTGAGCATTTTAAAAGCAAACTCTTCACACACCCCCCCCCCACATACCTTCAAACGTGATGGAAGCAGCAAGCCTCCCATTGAAAGCCAGGGAGAGTTGGGAGCTTTGGAAAAATTCTACTTGCAGCTTCCCAACTAGGTTAACACTTCCTCATATCCCTACCCTCTTGTAGCTTATTCTTGGTAGTAACTTTTGGCCTAAGGCCTAGTGGGGGATGGCTGCCAGGCTGGTCTCAAGCCTCTTGTGCTTCTTACACATTTGCTCCCTTTCCAGAGAGAGCTAACAATTAATCACCACCAGAGCAGCAAGACTAAAAATGGTCAATGATAAACAGACTAAGGGGGGAATCAACCACTCCATCTCCTGCCCCAGCCCAAGCCCTCTTGTAGGCAGAAAGTAGCTTTCCTGGCTCTGCCTCTGATGGAAGGTTCCTGTATCCCCTTCACACACAGCATGTCATTTCAATACAAGAACTGGAATTTGTGGGGAAAAGAGCCCTTATCCCCCAGGCACACCCCTTCAGAGAAGAACACAGCAGGTAGCCTTGGGGAACAGAGTGCAAGCATTTGAGGGAGGGGGTGTCCTGAGAAACGGGGCTATACAGACAGTAAGAGAAAGGGACTCGGCTCATGCTGCATGTACAAAAGGAAAGGTGATGAAGGAACAGGGTCCAACCACTGGCCTCCTGCTCTGCTCTTTTACTCACTTCATTTGGTAATACTCTCCTCTTCAGTCCCAAGACCTCAAGCCACTTTCCTGACATTTAGTTGAGACTTGCAATATCCCTGTAACAAGCACATTCCCTTATTTCACAACTGAGGAACCAGGTTAAAATCATACAGGGTACATGGGCAGAGCAAAAGGTAGACCCAGGAGCACTGCACATTAGACACAGGTGCTTTGGAATGTGGTATCCCACACTACATTGAAAGTCAATAAAACAGCAGAACTTTTGAGTATTTCCACAAGCCCATCCTTCCTGCTTCTATTTATCAAAAAATGGAATAATAAAAGAAACACTCCATGAAAGAAAAGAAAGATGGAATGTTACAAGAACTGAATAAATTTTAATAGCTGTATCAAAAAATAGCTTTGGCTAGTGTATGAATATCCACAACCAGTCTTAAGCTATGTTCTTTAGTAAATTTACTGATGTTTGAAATCTAAATTTTTCCATTACCAGCATGTTGGGGAATGTAGGGGAGGTCCCCTTATTCCTGACTTTAATACCAGAAATTAAGCACTTTGAAGTAATCTCATTTACTTGTTACTAGCTGTTTATATTATCTACTTCAGTGAGTAACAGAAGGGCATGCCAGTTTCACTCCTGCTTACAGCACATCCTGTTTTCTATTTCTCCTACCTTAGCAACATTTCATATCTGGGGTTACGCTGTTACATTTAATTGTAAGTCCTAAACCCCATCATCCCACTATTTTAAAACCACTGAATGAGTTTCAAAATTCAACTGTTAACCAAAAATCAGAACTGGGGGGGAGGAGGGGTGGGAAGTGGGGAGAGAAAGGACAGGGGGCAGGGAACTCCATCTGACAGATCTACTAAAAGCAGCAGTTTATTCTACCAAAAGAAAAAAGTGTGACTGGGGGGGAAGAGGGGGGTGTTATGTGCATTTACCTTGAGAGATGGAAAATAGAATGTGGCCTTGGGAAACTGGTTTTGGAAGCTAGCAACTGATAGGAGTTTCCCAAGTTACCTATATCAATGATTCTCAACCAGGGAAGGGAGACCTGGGGTGCCTTGAGATTCTTTCAATGGTGCCCAGGAGGTGCCATGCAATATTAGCACTGTAAAGAGTGCAAACATGATTCACAAGATAAACCTAGAGATTTTAAATAGGCATTCAGTGTTAACAATCAGATCTCTGTGATCTTTGAGTTGTTTACAATAGAAAAATTGCTCTGTAGTCAAAATACAAGTGAAAACTATGAGGTAGCATTTTCTGAGGGGTACCTCGACTCTAAAAAGGTTGAGAACCACAGCCCATTTTCCCCGCAGAAGACTGAAGAGGGGATGGGGGAGTGGTATTATATTGCCCAATACAAAATGTTGTCATGGGAAGAAAAAGAATGATTTCTTTGTGGTTTCAAATTTCTCATAAAGGATACGAAAAAGGGCTAAATGTTAGTACATGGAAGCCAGGTAGAATGAAACCAGTCACATCAGTTCCATTTCATTAGAGAAGCAAAATGGATTTTTAAAGTTCTGGTTTACTAAATGTAACGTATTTAAAAACAGACATCTGGAGAGTTTTTAAGTAAGATCTTTAGCTTCAGTACTTTCTCTTTTTAAAGTTTTAAGGTCTTCTCTACAGCTAACAACATTGGAGGGTTAATTTAAAAAACACTAGACATTAATTGAGAACTTAGGCTGTGAAAGGTAGCTTCAAAATTTGCACCTGGTGCTGAGACACCCGGAAACTGTTAGTGGTTTAATAACCTTTTCCAAAGAGGTGGTTTCCC